TAGGGGGAGCACTTACTCTTAAGAAAATCAAAATGGAAAGTGAAAGAAAATAAGGAAAAAGTTCCTTTTAAAGAATGCACTTTTGGGCCAAGGGCAGTGAGTGGTGCATGCCTTCCAGATACTCAGGAAGCAGAGAGAGGAAGATTGCTTGAGCCCAGAAGTTTGAAGCTATAGTGCACCTTAACTGCTTCTGTAAATAGCCACTTCACTTTTGCTTGGGCAAGATAGTGAGCCCCCTCTCCAAAAAAACAAAGAAAAAATAAGATGAATTTTATCAGACTGTGCCTGGAAGGCAAAGTGCAAAACATTTTTAAACTCATAGCACAAAGTGAAAATATTTTTAAAGTCACAAGTGTTTTTATAAGTAAACAAGATCTTTCCTCCACTCTGCTTTGTAGGAAAAAGAAATGTAGGCAACATAAAAGTTAGGTTAGGTATATTAATCTGTCTACACATTTCATGCATAATCTAGACAGCTAATATTACTTAAGGTCATTTGGTAAGAAATTATAAATCAACAAGTTAACCTTTCTATCACTCATATAATGCTTAATTATAATTTGTAAACATTCTGGTTTCTGATAAATATTATTAGCAAAGGAAGTTAATGGGCATCTATCATAAACTACAGTTGGTATACTTGGCATCACTTTATTAAGTTGTTTGAAAGCAAAATTAATACTATTATCCTCTTTGGAAGTTTGGAATGTAACTTGAGTACCTAAGCAGCAACGAAGTAGATAAAGGGGAAAGGAGACAGAGGAAATTAACATTAATGGGGTATCTATTATGTGCCAAGCTTCACATATAATACAACCACTTTGGGAAACAAGAATTATCATTTCCATTTCACAGATGAACAAACCAGGGCTTGAAAACTTAAGCAACTTGTCCATGGGGCACCTAGATAATAAATTGTAGAACTGGAGATAGCCTAAGTCTATCTGATCCTATTGCCTATTTATGCAAAAATATTAAAAGTTGCTTAACAAATATGGCATTCTTGTCATCTTAAATATGCTTCACTCCATTAAAAGGTATGTATTTACACTATGTATCACAGTAAAAGACAAGAAAGAACAACAAAAAAGTACACACAAGTTAAAGAATCAAGAAGTAATGAATTGTCGGATGAGGGATGCAGAGAAGCCTGGGAATTCAGAAAAGCCTGGGCCCCATGTGGATTCAGAAGCCACTAAGTAATCCCAGAATTCAGAGAAGCCTGGGGCCCATGTGGATTCAGAAGCCACTAAGTAATCCCAGAATTCAGAGAAGCCTGGGGCCCATGTGGATTCAGCAGTTAAGGAAGGCCTCATGAAAGATGCACGATTATAGCTGGATCCTGGGGATGGTAAAGGTTGGATAGATGTATAATAAAAGATTATTCCAAAATTAGCTGGATGTGGTGGTGCACCCCTGTCGTCCTAGCTATTTTGAAGGCTGAGGAGGGAAGACTGCATAAACCCAGGAGTTCAAGGCTGCACCAAGCTATGATCACACCACTGTACTCCAGCCTGGGTAACAGCACAAGACCCTGCCTAGGAGGGAAGGAAAGTATGGAGGGGAGAGGGAGGGAAGAAGGAAATTATCCCAGCCAGGGTAAGTTTAAAGCAGAGTTAAGGATGAACACAATGTATCTGGATAACAGTGAAGAGGCCAGCATAACTGCTTCAAAAAGTAAAGGATTAAGTGGAAAACACCCAAATGTCCATCAACTGATGAATTTTGTTATAAAACAAAATGTTTTCTATCCATACAATGAATACTATTCTGCAATAAAAAGGAATAAAGTACTGATACATGCTAGGACATGGATAAACCTTGAAAAAAAACATTATCCTAAGTGAAGAAAGTCAGTCATAAATGGCTAGATATTTTATAATTCTATTTATAAACAAGTCCAGAATAGGTAAACCCATAAGAGTCAGAAAGCAAATTAGTGGCTTCCAAAGGCTGAGAGGGTCAGGAAGTGAGGAGTAATTGCTGATAGTACAGGGTTTCTTTGAGAGGTGAAGAAAATGTTCAAACATTGTGGTGATGCTTGCATAATTCTATGAATGTACTAAACCCACTGAACTGTACGCTATAAATGGGCGAACTGCATAGCATATGAATTCTATCTCAATAAGGCTGTCTTTTAAAAGTGAGGGACTATTGTACAGCTAAAATGGATTCACTTTTGCATGACAAGCTTAAGGGTCTGGACTTTATCTGGTAGACAATTAGAGATATCTGAGCAAAGGTTTACTTAAGGAAAGCACAGTATACATACTTACAACTCTTCTATAATAAAACTTTTCACATGTTTTAAGTACATTCCTAAAATATATGCCAAAATCACAAAGAAGAGTGAGAACAGGAAAAAGATGCTGTGATACGATTTTGACTGAGCCACAAGCTGTGACTATTAGAAAAGTTGTTTTGCTCCAATGCTAAATGCCACAGATGGGCATATCGGCACCATATTTATGCAAAACCACAAATTCATCTGTGTCAAATCTTTGAATTGCATTAACATTCTAAACTTAATTGTGAAAATAACTGACTTGTCATACTTTAAGGTAAGATAATGAGTATAATTTGCTTTTCGCTGGATGATTGTATATAATGCTTTATTTAGGCCCTGGATTCAATTTAATGCTATCAGAGCCTCCACTAAAATAAAGCATTTCCTACTGATATTCACACATTTGACTATGAATTCTAATTTAACATAATATTCCAAAATAGTTTTAATATACAAAACAAGAGAACCAAAGAAACAAATCTGACACACAAAAGTGGAGCAAAATATATATAAGTATTAAATATCCAAGACAGGAAAAAATAAAGCACTCAAAATCAACCTGAAAATCATCCACAAAACAGGGGGAGTACTCGGTGTTGGGTTCTATAGCATAGAAAGTACAAATAGAGAAAAAGGAATGAACTACATTTAAAATAGAAGGCTTGATACATGAGAGTAGATGAGGCTTTAACAGAGGCAAAATATGGAACTTGTCTATAAGATAATACCACTCCCATCTACGAATCCCAGGGAAAAAAGAATCTTTCAGGCAGTCTTGGTATCATCCCTCCATTAACTGGCCTAAGGTGAAACCCCACTTTCCCCCAGGAGGTAGTGAGACGGTAGGAATACAAATGAAGAACTCAGCCGGAAAACCCATACACAACCTAACTAGTGTTCCCCTTCTGAGTCACCCTGAAAACCTCCTTCAAGGTAGGCAAGCCACAAGAAACTAAAGGAGATATCAGATCTCTTTTTAAACTCTCTTGTAAGAATGAGACGGCCCATCTGTCTCTAAAAAGTCTTTCTAAATTACAGAACTAAGTACAATGTTCTGTGTCTGAGAAATAAAGAGGACTTAGACAACCTGATTTGCTAACAAAAAATAAAAGCAAAACAGAACACAAATTAGCTTTCCTTAAAAAGAAGCCTTATCCCTTGATATCTAGAATAAGGTGTCTGCTATCACAAGTTAAGTAGAACAAGATTCTCCATTTCCTAAATCTAAGCCAGCGTTTGTACTAAAGAATTCAATGGAAAAAATGAGAACATATTTCAAATGGTCAACTGCTGTGTGTTAAATGTATCCAAACTTTCATCAACTGGAAAAGGCGATTGCTGACACATTAATTATTAAGGAATAAAATGAGTTCAAAGTGGGATAATTCTCTAAAACCAAAAGAACATAATGTTCGTTCATATATAAATAAAAGCTTTCTTTTACATGAATAAGTAGAAATGATGAGAGCATAACACAGATGGCCCAAAAAGGGGGGGGGGGGGACAACATCAACATAAAGTCTAAGATGCAGAAAAAATACTAAATGATAGAATTATTGTAAAGGAATGGTCTATGGTAAGCTTGCTGATATTCTGACTAAAAATCAGAAAATCAAGATGCCACTGGTAGGCTAAAGAATAATTAAGAAAACGGAAGTCCTAGACAGAATTTTTTTTTTTTTGGTAAGATCAGTCTGTGAATAACATGAGACTGGAAACATGATCTATAAACAAGAAAGAAGAACAAGAAACTTGCCAGTACCTGAAACTGACACTGAGCTAAGGAAACAAAGATTACAAATATCCTAGGAAGTAAATAAATAAAACCAGTTTTCAAAATCTGATTCTGAAAAACAAAAATAGAAATGAAGACAAATTTGTCAAAAGGGGGGGAAATGTGTAAGTTAAGGGAAAAAAATAAACTACATATACACAAATGCCTTAGGAAATTTTCTGTTTCGAAAGTATGTTTGTGGATATATTCATTAATATTCACCTTTTTTGCTTTTAAAATGCTAAAGCTACAACATAATTTTTTTAAATAGTTCAGAACTATCTTGTAAATATTCGCAATAATCATTTACCTTTAAGCAATTCTGTAGAGCCAGTGAGATGATTTGAAACTTAAATAAGAGCAGGTTTAGTTAAGTATTAAAAATCTCTCGGGCAAAATTATAAACCTCACATAGCAAAAGTAATATAAACAGTATATCCTGATCAGAAAACTGAACTATCATATTTTGTGGATTTGTTCTATGTAGTAAACACCATGTAAGGTCATCCTCTACAATTAACTTAAAATTAATCACAGGATACTGTGACCACACACACATACTTTTTACCTTGAATACCTCAAGGTGGTTTCTCCAGCATTTTCTGCTCCAAGAAATGTTAAACTCACCGAATCATATGTGAGAAAAAACAAAAGCCAGAATAGAAAAAAAAGAATGAGATTCAACTCAAAGCATTAGTTATTCTGCTCTGCCTTCTCCAAACAATATTCCTCAAGTTAGGTATCTTATTTGATTTCAGTTCTCCAATTCAAAACTTCATACCCAAATCTAATTTATAACAGAATTAAGTGCTATGCATATGAAAGTACTCCATTCAAGTGTTTAGGTAAATGTGAGCATTAACATGACACTTCAGAAAGCATGAATCCATGTTGTCACAGGGGGAAAAAGGGCAATGTAACAGAAAGACTAGGAAATACCTGAGTAGATAGACAGCCCTTTCGATATCACTGAGATCCTCATCAACTGTCAATCTTTCTATTTCTTCTGGTGTCTGTCAAATGTAAGATACAAATTATTGCACACAAACATCCAGTCAGTCTTGCGTGTCCCGCCCTACCCCCCACCCTCTATGAGTACCGACAAATGAAAAAGTTGCACAGTTATGCACTGACAATGAAACTAATCAAGGCTCTGGGGATAGTGCGCGAGATCAACCACAGAGGTCTCAAATTACGTGGTTGAGTTTTGGGGGATTTTTTCTTTTCACTCTTCTAGTTTATAGATTGCAACTTGAGAATGGCATTGTGGCTTCAGAACCTTGCTGAAATCAATTTCATACGCATGTATAAAATAAATATGTACATGTGCGTGTATATGTATATACACGCACTTTTCACCTTTCATATCTCAAGGTTATTTCCCCAGCATTTTCTGTCCCAAGAAATGTTAAGGGGATGGATGACTGCAGCCGAGTGGGTATACAAAAGACAAGATGGGGGTGGGGGGGAATAAACTCTGGGGCTGAAAGGTAATCAAAGATTGGAGACATTGCGGCAGGTGAGAGAGAGGCGCTAAAGGAGCTATTAAGAGAATGGCCAGAGAAAGAGAGGGTCTGTAAAACTAGGTTTGTCAGCGGTGAGCGCTAGAGTCTCTGGAAGGAAGATGACTGTGCGAATGGGGGTGAGGGGAGGAAGCTGAAGGTTGACTTCCTCAAGGGAGCTGGGGGGCAGGGTCCCAGCTAAAGTCCCGGAGGGGCTGGGAGGGAAGGGTGTGCGGGGACTCAGGATGAGTCGAGAGGGCTTTGAAGACCGGCCCAGGATGACTCTAAGAATTGGTACTGGGTGGGAGGCGAAGGGAGGCCGTGCTGCCTCGGGGGTAGAGGGACCCGAGTTTGATCTGACTGTCAAGGGACCTGGGGTGGAGTCTCAGAGAGAGGTGGGGAGAGGAGGTCAGAGGAAAGAGGGCTGTGTGGACCAAAGGGTGGACGGGGGCCAGAACTCAGGCAGCACCAGGGGACCAGGGCTGGGGGAGCACAGAAGAGGACCGGCAGAAACCGGCTGTTGGCTGCGAGCGATAGACCCTGCAGGGGGCGGGCAAACGCGGCCCACAGTGAGGGGCCACGGCTGCCCGAGGGTCGAGGACGCTGGGGCTGCCCTGATGTCAGTAGCTTGGCCGTTCCTGGGGTGGGCCGGAAAGGTTGAAAGACCTCAAAAGGGTCAGGAGCCTCGGGGCCAACTCCAGGTCAGGGGATGGGTCAGGGACCGGTCCCTCGAGGAGTGGGATCCAGTCTGGAAGAACCGGGGCCGCGCTGAAGAGGGGGCCCCAGGAGGGGCCGGTTCGGGGTGACACGGCGATCGGAGGTTGGAGGACAGAGGGACCGGTCCGACTCTTGAGAGGGTGCCGGTCTGACTCAGAGGGTCTGGGTCGCCTCGGGGAGGAGACAGTGGCAGAGTGGGGCGGGGGTCAGCTCCAGGCTGCGCGGGGCCAGCTGGCCGGGCGCACTGAGGGCGATTTCTCTCCCCGGGGCGCACCTTGAGGCTCCGGCGGACCGGCCTCTCGATGATGGTGAGCTCCTGCAGTTCGTCCATGTAGCCGAACAGGCTGTTCTGATTGAAATCCATTCCGGTGACAGGCGGCGGCGGATGCATGGACCGCCGAGCCCCCTCGCTGCCCGGGCCGGAGCGGCCCCGGGATACCTGCCGCGCGCAGCCCCGCGGCCGCCCACCAGCAGGACTTTCTCCCGCTCTCGCCCGCGGGAGCAAAGCGTGAAGCTGGCGGGCGGCAGGAGCAGGAGCTCGGCCAGCCGAGGGGGCGGGGCGGGACGGGCGGGCTGCGGGGGCGGGGTCAGGGGCGGAGGAGCCGCCGCAGCGCCCGCCTCGGCCCCGCCCCCTCCCGGGAGCCTCGCGCACGCGGCCGGACGCAACCGCCACGCAACGTCACAGCGCCCCAGCCGCCCCTCTGCGCCCGCTCCTCTGCCCTACTCTCCCCCTCGCCGCGTCCCCAACCGAGTGCGCCGCTCCCTACGGCGCGTGCGCAGAGCCTTCCACCGCCCGCAGTCGGCGGAGGCGGGCTGGGGGCAGGGAAGCACAGTCAATGACCGGGGAAGCGAAGGGGAGGGTAGTGGGCCGGGGTCTGGCTTCACCTGCTGAAATAGCCTCCCCGTTACTCCTACGACTGCTCACCGCAGTTGGCGGGCTGTGGACACGGAGATCACCCTAGCACAGCTCCAGCCCTGTGGGAGGGGTGTGTGGGAATAAATAACAATCCTGGTAGGACTGACCTTAGGGGGAAAGGCAGCGTTCAGAAAAGGCCTCCTGGAGGACAGACTCTTAAACTGAATCTTAAGTGCAGTCAACGCAGAGCTCTGGGTTCAGGAAGAGATTGCCTGGCATGGTAGGTGGAAGAAAGAGGACTTAGGTCCTTTATGGAGAAAGGCCCTGCTGTTTACAGCCACGTTGAGTGGCTTGCTCTTGGTTCTGTTAAGAATAGGAAGCGATGAAAGGGAGATTGGGGTGATTTATTGGACCTTGGGGAGGAGAGTTCTGTTGTTCATACTCTTCAGCTCACCAGAGTCAGCAAGACCTCTCTTCTTAATTTTTATTTTCCACTCAATCCCTCATTCCTTTTCCACACTCCCTATTCCTCTACCCACCATATGCACCCTCTTTTGTATGTTTAAGTATGTCCCATTACACGTACGGTATATATCCTAAAAAGATACATGGTTTGTGTACCTATTTTTAATATACTTTAATGGTATCGTCCTGAGAACTCATTCTGTTCCTTGTTTTTCCGTCAATTTAGTGTCTTAGAGATCTATCCATGTGGCTGTATATACCAGGAGTTCATGAATTCTGACCACTGATAGTATTTGATTTGTGTCTAACACTTTTTACTTATCAGTTATTCAAATAGTGGACAGTTAAGTTGCCAGCAGTTCCTTGCTCCCATAGACAGTACTGGAATGAGTATTAGCTGTGTCCCTTACAGACCCTAGGAAAGAAATAGAATTGCTGGGTCACAAAGTCCACAGTGCTTGGTTTCTTTCTGTCATGTGACTTTCCAGAATGGTTTTGCCAGTTCACACTCTCACCAATGGCACATAAAAGTAGAAAGATACCCTTTTCCCATTTTATATACTAATATCTGATACTATTTAATGTCCTAATTTGTATCAATCTGATATCAGTAGTGTCACATTATAATTTGCATTTTTATTTCTTGGATGATTGGTGGTAGTAATCATTTTTCCATATGCTTAAGAACCGTTGAGATTTTTTGCCTTCTGTGAATAACCTGTTTACATCCTTTGCCTATTTTTCTGCTGGATTTCAAATGATTTGAAGGAGTTTCTTATGTATTATAATATTGCTCTTTTGTCATTTTTGGACATCACAGATATTTCTCCCAATCTTTCATGTATCTGTTAGCTCAGTCTTTGATATCCTATAAGAAGGAGAGATCCTTAATTTTGAGGTAGCCAAATGCATCAAATTTCAAGCTTGTTTAAGAATCTTTTCCCACCCATGGTTGCAAAATACTCTCCTACATTTTTCCCTACTTGGCGTCTACATTTATCTATTACAGTTAGGTCTTAATCTTTCTGGAGTTCACCTCACATACAGTGTAAGCAGAAATATAATATTATTATCCCGACTTAGTGAGCCAGTTTTACCAGCAGCATACTCCAAACAATCCATCTTTTCCCTTCCAATGTGTGATGACATCTCTACCGGTATGCCAAGTTCCCAAGACACACATGTCTGTTTCTGGGCTCGTATTGCTGTTTTATTGATCTAGATCTGTTCCTATGTAAATGCTATGCAGATTATATTCCTATGGCTTAGTTACACATCTTAAATTTGGTAGAGTGAAACTCTCCACTCTTTGCTCTTTTTCTTCACTTTTGCCTTTGAAGTTCAAAGTGAAAATGATCAATAGTGACCCCCACAGCTAAATTTCAGGTTTTCTGATCTCTAGTAAGAAAGTGTGAAGGGATTAGTAACTGATACTAGATATTACAGTAGAACCTCCATAGTTGGTCACCTTCTCAAGTTGACCTAATTTTTATAAACTGGACATGCACCACATGTGCATATCAGTACAGCAGGCCTAGTTCTTTATGTTGAGCACCTCTGTATGTTGACCAGTTTGTGACAATCCCTTGGGTAGTCAACTTACAAAGGATCTACTGTACTTGTAACTTTTACCCTGTTCCAGGTAAGAAATACTATCTCATACGTGGATTTTTCTAAGACTTGATGACATTCTTAATGAACAACTGATTGAATATACAGATGTAGCATTGATGTTACCTGTTCTAGGGCAGGAGGTTAACAAAAGGAAAATGTGCTCTAATTACCACTGTGCTAGAGTAGCCCACCCCAGCCTGGCTACCAGGAAACCTGAGTTCCAGTCCTGGCTCTGCCAGTGACGTGGTAGAATGACTTTTGGAGCCCTGTTTTCCTTATCTGAACTGCTTTCATGCATGCTGTCTCAGTGTGCCCTCGCAGCAGCCCTGTGTAGTGCAGAAAAAAACATATTACTATTACAGTTTTATAGACAATAAAACTGAGGCTCAGAAAAGTTATGTGACTTAGGCATATACACACAGCTAAGGGAGCTAGATGTATCCACTTTGTTTATTAATTCAATAATAGCATGATGCTAACTATATGGACATTAGCACCAAACTGCCTCAGTTTGAATCTGTGTTCTGCTGCTTCCTACCTTCAGCAAGGTGCTTAACTTCTCTGTCCCTCAATTTACTCCTAAGACAGGAGTAATATTAGACACTCAGCACAAAATGTTGTGAGAATTAAATGACAAAATATGCTTATGTGGTATAATCTTTAGAAAAATCCCTGGCACAAGCATTTGCTATTGCTATTACTTTTGCCATCAGACCAGTGAACCTCTGTACCTAGGTTTGGAAGAAATTCAATAAACATGGCTGAATCAATACATTATTGTGGACAGCAAAATAATGCTTCTCCAAAGATGTCCATATTCTAATCCCCTGAACCTGTGACTAGATTGCCTTATATAGCAAAAGAGACTTGGATGTGACTAATTTAGGGATCATGAGGAGGTTTATATTACATTATCCAAATGAACTCAACGTAATCACAAGAGACCTTCTATTAATACATGAAAGAGAGAGGCAGAAGTTAGGTGTCAGAGTGATACTGTGTAAGATAGGCTTGACTGGCCATTGCTGGCTTTCCAGATGAAAGGAGCCATGAACTGGCAACCTATAGAAGCTGGAAAAAGACCAAAAAAATGTGAAAATCCTCCACTACAATCTCCAGAAGGGAATGCAGCCCTACTAACATCTTGATTTTAGTCCAGTAAATACAACTTCAGACTTCTAACTTCCAGAACTGTTAAGATAATAAATTTATATTGTTTTAAGACACTAGGTTGTTAACAATTTGTTATAGCAGGAGTAGGAACTAATGCAATTATATGAGAAACATATTTAAATTGATTTCCACCTGACATCATGCCAAAAAAAATTCAGGTGAATAAAAAAACAAAATATGAAAGGTAAGTCACTCAAACTTTTGGAAGAAAATACAGAATAATTTTATGACATCTGAATAGGGAAAATATTTTTGAAAACACAAGCTAGAAAATAAAAAATCGGTCAGTCTAACTTCTTTAATGTCTTAAAATTAAGAATTTAGATTCATTGAAAGATAGTAAAAAGACAAGACACACTATAGACTGGGAAAAGATATTTACAACCAATTAATCATAGAAAGTTTACCATCCAGAATCAAGAACTCCAAAACAAATCACTAAAAAGATAACTAAATAGAAAAATGAACAAAATACATAAACAGTCCCGTTGCAGAAGAATCACCAATAAGCCTATGGAAAGGAGGTCAACTTCAATTAATAATTAATAAAACATTAATTAATAATAAACTTGCTAATAAAAAGGGAAAAGCAAATTTAACCATCCACCAAATAGGCAAAAATTTAAAGTCTGATCACAGCAAAGATTTTATAGATGTCAAGCAAGAGGAACTCTTTAATGTTGCTGATTAAAATGTAAATTGGTGCACCCACTTTGGCAACCACTTTGGAAAATAATTTGGCATCAACTGGTAAAACACAGAGAAACTCTTTCACATTTGCGCAAAGAGATTGCATAAGACAGTATATAGCAGAACAAATCGAAACAACAAAAACCTGAAACAACTCAAGCATTTATCAACAGATAGATATAAAATGTATTATGGCATCTGGAATCAAGAAGTCTGGATTATAATTGTATTAGAATTAATGGAAAACTGACAGTGAAAATGAACTACAACTACATAATTCAACAAGGTTAAATCTCAGAAGCATGTTGAGCAACGAATGCAAATTGCCAAGGATTATCTAACATATGAGATTAAACTCATAACACGTATAATATCCACATATGGTTAAAATGACCCAAAAAAGAATGTCTCCATCCAGGTGCATAAGCCAAAAACTTGGAAGTTATCCTTACTGCTTCTGCCTCCCTGACTTCCACACCTCCCACCTCTAAGCTATGCCTAGTTACCTCCAAAATTTCTCTTGAATCTGTTTATATCTGTCCATTTCCATTATAATGACTCTTGTCCAAGCTATGATCCTTTCCCACCTAGCCCCTGTTGTCACTTTGTGGCCCTACAGTATTTTGTCAAGCAGAATAGATAACCAATGCTGCAGAAAGAGAAAGCATGAAGTCTCAGTGGCTTCACACAATGAAGATTTATTTCATTCTGTGTGTTCTTTAATGTCTGAGTAGATGGCC